AAGCAAGCTATTAGTTGGTACCTTTGAGAAGTACTGGTAATAAACAAAACTCGAAACGTTTTAATCTTAAATTAGATAAAACGCACTATAACACTTTAACCGTGTGTTCATAAATGTTTCTTACTACTGAATTATTATACTTGATATTTGACCTGTCTCCCCAATCTGTAATTTAAAATGAGTTGCTAGACAATGTAGACAGATCGCGCTTATTTCCAGCGCGACGCACCATAAGAATCACATGTACACAATGGCAATATCTTGTTGATATTCTTTATTTACATGTGCTGAATGTGCATTACAAGAATAGAGAATTTTATTTGGAATTGTTCCTCATTTAATTTAAGTTGTAATCTAAAAGCATGCAGTCTGTTTTATATATAGGTTTTTTTGCAAGTCACAAGAAGACTCTGTAAAACAGATAAGTTTTACTATTTTGTTGTATCTACAATTAGATAAGTTTTAGTTTCTTGTAATACAGTGTTYAGTCGWATCTGCAAAAAGGTAACATGTACATACTGGCCGCAGTGCACGGARAAAGTATAAAACAGGTTTTTGTAAAGAGTGTGGATAGTTTACAGTGCATCTAGAGATGACAGACATCGTTTATTCTTGAGGACTTCCTTGCTTAAGCTGCAAGGCTCGTTTTACGTTCTCTGCATGCTCGTTAATCCGTCGACTTCTCGAGGTGAAGTCGGGTGATATTCGGGTTGTTGTTGTGGAGAATGSTTCTCCTTTATTCTGAGTTCTTGGTGTTCTGCAAAATATTGCAATATATTTTAGAGGTTCATCCTTTCAAAGATAACTAGGGAATCGGTCAGAGTATGTAAAATCTAGTAAGTCCAATTTCACATATCTACAAAAAAGTTATACCACTTTAGTATTACCATACTAGTGGACTATTGCAAATCCTTCGTTCTGATTGGCTATGCTACTCGGGGTCGAAAAGCGACAACATTGTGCGTATTTTTAGCAATAAAAACACTTAGTTATTTATATATTTCATTCATTTTTTGTCCAACTAGTATGGTAATACTAAAACAATTAGATCTCTCGGCCTCGTGGACTACGAGGCCAAGAGAACTTTATATTACAGGGGGCATTACAGATTGGACTTGAGCGACGCATCAACAGAGAACTCTTAAAATGATTGTTTTCATATGTCACTAAGGAAGCACGTCAAGTGCACAMTTCTTGACATCATTATCAAAATAAACATTTATCAAAACTTTACCCCGAGTTGTTGTTGTTGTTGTACACAACTGTTTCTTAGAAAGGCCGTTTACACTAGTTTACCGCTAGTTTCCATCATTTATTAAAAATAGCTGAGTTCTACTAGAAAACAAGGTACAAAATCTTCGTTACTCACTCATTAGCGATTTCTGCATCGTCGGTTCGAAGAGATAGTGCTCGGTATAGGTCCTGGGTACTAGGGGTTTGCACGG